TGTTGAGAATGTCTGTTTATTGCGTGTTGTCATTGTAGCTTTATTTGGCCGCATTGCAGTATTATACCACTTGCTATAATCATTTTTCTTGGTGTTTCTTGAAGAACAGATTGCTAGATATTAATGGTTCTATTTCTGATGAATGTTCAGTTGCCCTGTGAGTTGTGTGTGAACCGTTTGTTTTTCTGAGAAAAGATGTCAAGTGTTTTTGTTTACAATTTCCTTCAGGCAAGTTTCGTTGTCTTAACATTGGTATGTACTGTACTTCATTTTATTCTGCACACAACTGAATTCTCCACCTTGTTCACCTGCATGTCTTAAGATCATTAGCAGCGATATTAAATAAAGAAAACAATGGACCCCCTTACCTATGTCCTGAACGTGTACTATAAGTTTTTTAATGGATCCTGTAAATACAAATAATAAGGAATGTGCAGCTGTCAACTCCCACCACGCCGGCACGCGTCTGTAACTTTATCATTCCGGTCAAACAATAAACGAAGTGGCAACTCAACGGGCAGGTGAGGAGGCGTCATCTCAATATGACGTCATCACTAGCAGCTGGAACAGAAGGGATGACTCATTTAGCCACACTAGTACATGTTTGTTTTAGCCGTACAGTATTAGATGCCGTTCACTTATATCATTATATTTGTATAAGACCGCGGAAATAATGGCGAGTAAGTTCATCAGTCAATGATAAATGGATTTGTAATTTCCTTAACTTTCTTAACCTTTCTCCATCCTCATCAACTATAGCTGACCGGAGTGTCGGTTTCTCACTGCCTGTAGGTGCTGAGCGTGTCCAGTCACCAGTGTATCTCAACATGTGTCATTTTTGGTCTAACCTGGATTTAAAGAGTTCACACACACACTTAGTGCTTCCAGACCTCTCCACAATGTTATCGGAAAGTGTTGTATGAGCAACTGACTGTCAACTATCATCCCGATATAAATTAACTCAAAGATAACATAAAACTATGTTAAATTTACCTCCTGTCTGGTGATACGTGAACGAATTTTATTGCGGTGGAGTCTTGGTGTAATTTGAATGCCATTTTAGGTGATATTTATTGTATTTTACGATTACCTAAAGTCAGCTGGATCACATCTCCAGTTACGAGGAAACTCAACGAGCCATTGAGAACGAGGTGACGTCACAATCAATATCGTGTTGTACTTGAATATATCTGACCCACAGTTGGCTAGTTACGATAAATATATCACCTACGAATGAGAGCAACTTGAGAGGTCGTCCGCTCCTCTTAAATTCCAGATAATATATTTTAATAATTTCCAGTGCTACGTTGTGGGAAAAAAGCTGCAATTATCCTCCTAGATATGAATGATATTATAGTAGTCAATATCTTTTCCTGAATTTATTATTTTGTACATAAAGTATTAAAAGAACTAGTAGTCGTGGGTCTGTAACCTTTATTTAACAGTTGATGACATGCAGTAATAACAATGTAAACGTAGACTTGATGTGTCAGGTGTGGTCCCGCTTGTCGTGTGGCTCATCTCCATTATCTAATAAATAATGTATTATTTTAATATTTTGAGTATAATCTATATCAGAGTCCATATGAGAGAGCTATGTTGCCTCCATACAGGATGATTAGAAAAAATGAAAATTACAAGTTTTTCTTATTTGTTTCAGACAAGTGCGAGTGTGCCGAGGGCGGGTGTAAGACGGGGTGTAAGTGCACATCCTGCCGCTGTGCTCCCTGTGAAAAGTGTAAGTTATACCCCCATGACTGTCACCCCTACCAAATATGATCGACGGCCTTTGTTATTACTGAAAGCCGTTTCCGTGATAATGATCATTACTGGTTGATTTTATTTGCTTGATTTCGAGATTAGTTTGTTGCTCCCTTTGATCTTATCTTGTGTGGTCAATATTGTTTTCATACGTTGTGTAAGCACCACATCTTGTACAGTAATGGTTTTAGTTTTGTTTTTTGTCTTTATAACCTCGTGTTTTAGTGCTATTAATACTCTAAACTAATGAGTGTCTTATGCTTTACCTCATAAGGACACTGTATTTAACATTGCCTTGGTACTAACAATAACTATTTGCAGGTACCTCCGGGTGCAAGTGTCCATCCAAGGATGAGTGCGCCAAGACCTGCTCCAAGCCTTGCAAGTGCTGTCCCTAGACCCCTTCCACACTACCAGGGGACAGGGGCGATGACTAACTCTTAAGTGATCAGGAGGCGTGTAAAGAGGAAGAATTGGGAAAGACATAACCAAAGATGGATCCTTGGAAGACGCCTTCACCAGGGACCAAATTCATGGGACGGGGGGAGGGAAGGGGGTAGAGCAGTGGTTCTCAACCTTGTTTGCCCCCATGCACCCCTTTCACCATATGTCAGAATGTCATTCCCCCCTCCTTTCCAAGATTGTCTGCCTCAAAAAGTGCATTCCAAATAATATGCATATAATACTAAAAATCCTTTATTTTTTCCATATTAGTATCAGTTTCCCCCCCCCCTCCCCCCCCTGAAAACCTGAGGGGGGAAATTCCGCCCCTGGTTGAGAACCCCTGGGGTAGAGGAACTTTTCATGTGACCAAACTGTTCATTAATTAGTCAGCTTATACGAAGTTACTGTGTCTACATTCCACATTCAGTATTTCTGATTACTTGTCATTCGACTAAATTATTTAGTTGTAAGTTTGCCTTTGGCTGTTTTGTTATTTCACCCAAAATATTTCAAGGTTTAATTATGCCATGAAAAATAAAAAATTAAGTTAAAAATGTGTCTCTGATTTACTAACCCTTCCCTCTGTTGTGATATCCGTGTAACAGTTTCTTTATGAATCTCAAATGAAAAACGAAAAAGGTTAATTTCTTTATATTTGAAATGCTAAACTGTTGATGAAAATGTAAATAAAATTACACATTGGAAATAAGAGAAATTCAACAATGTAGCAAAAATGTTAGTACTGTAGTGGAGATTATTGGATGTAAACACCTGTCATGCACAAGTGATCTGATAATCTGCCAGTGACTTCTGACAAAACTATGTATGAACATCTCAAAATCCAAGTTAATCCAACATTCAACAGGAGTGTACATGGACAATACTGTCTATCGGTGCACAAGATAAATTACCGCCCACCCGCCCAGCGAAGAGAGTAACTCGGTGAGGTTATGATAGAAATAAACCAAACAGTCCGGTATACCCTTATCCGTGTGAACTGTATACTGTATTATTTTGTGTGGGTGTGTAGCCGACTCTCGACACCCACTCCTCGGTTAGGGACTCATCAAAACAGAAACCACAAATTATTGATGGAGACAATGTGCCCTCTATTCTGAAATTTCTTAAAACATCTTGGTACACATTGTGATATGACAAATTTGAAGTTTCGATCACTCAACAGAGATCCTGGCCAATAAGGACGTTGGTCATGGATCCCTCTAATATAGAAGCCTCGGAGAAATTTGGCTAAAATAAAACCTTCGGAGAAACTTTGCCCAAATAGTGACCTTGGGGAATTACTGCCAAATTAAAGGCTTTAGTTATATAAACCACAAGAAAAGTCTTGTTTGGACATTGATTATGTGAAATTAAGGGACAATTCTTGATTTACGCATTGATCATCTTAACAGGTATAGTTTGCTGGTTCTGGTCCTTCTGAGTTTATATGAACCAGAATAAATATTTCGTAAATAAGATTATCTTATATTGAAATAATAAATATAAATCTTCGTCATAATTCTACAGGTGTAAATCTTAAATTAGTATTTATTCAGCAAACTACATTTATATAAGATAGAAGGTGTAATAAGGTCCGCTATTATTTGCACAAGTGGTGACTGATCAACATCTCACCAGTGCCGTGGCGCAGTAGGGCATTAGGGGATGTGACACACCTCCAACAATCCTGCTTGTAGATACAACCATACAGGTAAACATAAGAAAATAAGGAGTCTACAATAGGCCGGTTGGCCTGTGCATGGCAGCTCCTGTCGAGAGTTACTACCAGTCCCTATCATCCATGAATCTATCTAGCCTCCTTTTAAAACTTTCCAGCGTTCCAGCACTTACTACAAAGTTGCTAAGCTTGTTCCACTCGTCCACCACCCTATTTGTGAAGAACTAAAAATGTCACGGAAAAGAATAGAGTAAATTAGACCAGCATCCTGAAAATTATGGAAATTATGGATGGAAGTTATGCATACATCTTAAAAACAAATCTATGTATCCACAGAGTAAACTAAACTATATCTCGTAAATAACACTAAACTTTATGGTGTACACACATGTGCTCCCCTCAATCAATACCTTATAGTGACGTCATTGGATTTCACTCCTGGCGTGTATTTTTTCAGTTCAGTCGAGAGAAACTTATAAATGGCAAATGAAAACTAGGGAAATTAGACTATAAATTGATTAAAAATAATATTAGCTTTCTATAAGCCAATAATCAAAGAATAATACTTCATGGCGTATGAAAACTTTATAAGGCAGTAAGATGTGTCTGTTTACTCATAACAAACTGTTACCACCAGAGATAATAACTTAACAATAGTAGATCTAAAGAAGGGCACCACTTCTTATTGAGAATGCCCCTAGCATATAAACAGAAGAAGAATGACTTGGTAGAAACAAGCTTCCAACAGCTGTCTCGGGATATCCTTGCTGAATATAGATCTAAATTGGTAATATTTATATACATATATTATTAATGAATATTATAAATCCATTGTATATTTAAATGACGATTTTTGTTGATCAAACATTAACCAATTAATCAAATAAACAACAAGAAGGGTACTGGAGTAGTCCCTCCTGGAATACGTTTTATGAAAGGCAGTGGAACAGTCCCCCCCACCCCCTCTATTATTAAATGGTTTTATATATTTCAGTGGCTATATATCATGAAAATATCTCACCATATCTTAATTCCTGCACCACACAGTAACTTTTGAGGATAAATAAAGAGTTGGTTATTTGTATAGTTACCCCGGCAAGGTGTTCTGTGAGGGGTAGTGGCTGTGGCCGTTAGGTGGCAGCACGAGGAGTTCCACCTTGCCGGAAACACACAGATGACAAAACTTTGGCAGATGCCTCAGTAAAATTTATTATTCTACGCCTCAGGTGAACCCAGGTGAGGTGAATTAGATTATTTTCGTTTGCTTAGGGATGGAACTTCTCTATTTATCAGTGAGGAGAGGGTAGAGTGTCATGAGTGAGATATAAAGGGGCACTGAAGTAGAGGGAGGGATATAGCTGCCATTTTGGTAAAGTCAGATGATGTCAACATAGACACTGCCCATATCTGAGGTTATATTTTTTCTCGGTTAGACGACAGGTTGTACATTACCACTATTATGGCCCAGAAAGCTCACGGAAAAATAAATTGAATGTGGTGGGATACAGTGGTAGGTTGGCAGTAGAGAGGGATGGTGTGTGGGCAGTGAGGAGGAGAAATCCTATACCCCAGTCTGTACACAGTCAGTGATAAGCCTCTAACAGGTGATACTAGGACTTGCTGGACCGTTGGGTTGTATAGTGTTCATGTGGATAGTTTTATGTCAAAGTAGGAATGAGGAATGGTATGTTGACACTGCAGTTATGATGCTTGGGCACCTTCCATGGTTAATGTATAGTGTTCTTACTATCATGCGTGTGTCAATAATTATCCACATATTTTATGGGTATTTTGATTTGACAGTGTTACTAACCACTAACCTGATCATTAACTTCTGATTTGATAAGCCTAATGTGGAAACGGGAGTGAAATAATTTTTACTTTCACTTTTATTGAGTGGAAGAAGATAAATTAGATAATTCTAGTCTTGATTAATCTTATGTTTACTCACTCTTTAAATGACATAATATACTTTAAGAATATACGGTGCTTCACTTGTCTACCATAATGAACATTGTGAAGTTTTGTTATGGAAGGAAAATTCTTGGCTGATACATGTGTCCAATCACGTTCAGAATTCCCGACAGTGCCTTTAGAACCCATTTCACACAAATTTTGAGTCGGGCAACCTTTTCACTAAATTTGCTCACAGAGAGCCATGTAATTCGGTTGTGGTAATCCTGTTTATTTGCCACAGTAATACAGATAAATTTCTGCCCAAACTGTATTTATACCGCTGTATTTATGGAAGTTGCTGTCGCTTGTTTCTGATTGTTGACCAATTTAGTTCCGTGACGGCGTCACCTATGGAGTTATCTAGCTAACAGTATGAGATGACTTGTGAAGACTTTCCCAAGCTTACAATGGATCAGGACCTCTGGAGTCTACAATACAGTGTTTCTACTTTTATCGGCTTTCTTAAAACTGAATTTTCAAAAGAATATTAACCCTTTCACAGCAGGAGGTTACCCTAAGCTGAATAAATCGTCTGGCGGTAGCCAGAATAAAATGGCAAGCGCGTGGAACACGTTGAAAGTGTTAAGGAATTAATTGTAATTTTAGGAAATATACTGCACCTGTACTGTACAACTAAATTTTACTGAGTTTATTTTTGTTTCAGGCTGTTTAAATCCCTCTTCCTCTTGGTACATAACTTGTATTGATTTATTTTTAGTGTTATTTTAGTTGATTAACCAGTACTATTTATTCATATGCCAGATTGTGTTAACCAGTACTATTTATTCATATGCCAGATTGTCTCTCTATTTTGTTTGAGCTAACCATTTATCCTCTACCCCCAGTCTCGGCAAGATGTCGAGCATAAAACAGGTGATCAATGATGCCGTGGAGAAAGGTAAGGAGGTATATGAAAAAGGTATGTAGACCCTTCTCATTCAGGACCCCTCGCAACCCACGCACATTCGTACCCTTTGCTGCTGTCGCTACAGGTAGGGTGATCAGCATCCAGTACCTTAAGCTTTCTTCTGCCTTCTGAAAATTACAGTTACAGGGTATTCAGCATAAAGAACTGAATGGTAGTGTAATTATCTGAAGAATCTTGTGAACTGTGTACAGTATTTTGCTTCACCTTAGATTATTTGAGGTGAAGATTGTAATGTTTAATACTTTTTCTGTGCACCAGTAGCAATGTGTTTGGCTACTTCATAGTACAGTATTTCTGAAGGTGACATTAGTAATGGTCAAGTACCTTATATGACTGTATGGTAACTTGAATGGAAACATAATTTATTATTAATGCATTATAGTTATGGACACTTGCAAAAGTGAAAAAGTTTGGTAGCTTCTGAAATTTTTGTAGAAGAACCTACAATATATTGTAGACATGCAGTGTACTGTACCGTACAGTACACCATATACTGTATTAGTGTCGGTATTTTCTGTAAGTGGTTTGGTATCGTATAATTTCTGTAAAGTATCATACGTACAGTATTACTCTTAATATGATTGCATATTAGAAATACTTGTTGCTAAAATATTTAATTGACTTCCTTGCATTTATATTAGAAATACTGTATTGAATATGGAGCTGAAAAAGATAAAAAATTAGAAATTTTTAGATTGTATGTTTGTTTTTTATTAGAATCGTGATTTATTTTCACATTCTGTAAAACGTCTACAGCAAATGTTTATATCGTCCACACCACTACAGTACAGGTACCACTTTTAAGTTAGCTTAAAAAAACTGCCCCAAGTTGTGGCCTTGCAAGAAGTGTTTGAGAGCTTTGAGTTATCATAGTGATTCCTGTTTATTAGAGAATTTGACCTTTGAAAGTTTCTGTAGTTAAGTTGATCATGCATACAGTACAGGCCTCACTGTACGTACTATACTTTGTAGCAAGCTTGTGTCCTTTTTTCTCCTAAATACAGTATGTTAAATTCTTTGTTGAAGAGCAGCATAAAGCACTGTTTCAGATGTTTATATATACAGCACTGACATGAAGGGTAATAATGTTGATCACCTGGTCTGTAGTGAGAGCTTATATCTGCCATCAATCCTGCTTTATCTTAGGCCTCTGAGCTGTGTGAGTGCAGCCCATCATGTTGAGGAATGCCTTTAGCATGGATAGCATGTTGTTGAGAGATTTTCCAGAAAATTGTAAGAGATAAAAGTAGTACCAGTTTTGTACTTTATCTTTCTTATACTGGTATGGTGAGATGTACAGTACAGTAACTAGAATTAGAACATAAAATCTTAGTACAGTTCTATACTACGCAGGCTCTACACATGACCAAGAACAGGGAGACTTGATAAATGTCTCAGGGCAGCTGTGTAACTATGTACTGTACTGTACTTAGTTAAAGTGGACACAGTGTCAACACAGTAGAGGACGGTTGAATGTAAGCATGGCAGAAAGGTGTTAAAAAATTCTTGATATGGAAGGTTAGTGGTACAGTTGTGGAAGAATAGTGTATCATTCTCTCTGCATTTTGATTTGGAAGACTTAGTTGAGTATTTGACAGGAAGAGAAAAGTCCCATAAAGTAAAATCAAGTCATTATTTTGAATTTAAGAGTCTACAAGAATTAAGTGTTCCTAGTTAGAGTTACTGTATATAAAAACATAACTTCTTAAAGGAAATTTCTTACTTGATGAAAAAAATAATAATCTCCAGAATTATTTACTGTACCATCAGAAACGTGTCCACCATCGTCTTATGCACAAACATAGCTTTACTGATTGTTAAGGAATGAGCCATTAAGTTAATTGCTCATTTAAATTTGAGCACAGTGCTTCATCATTAATAAGTGAATCTTATTGGTAGTTTGTTTATTTCAGTCATAGAAAATGGTCATACATTTTTTTTTTCTTTTTCTCCAGGGATTTTTCTGATTTCCAATCATTCTCAGGGTGTAGAAGTAAATATTTGCATTGGCATTTGAAACTGATTAATTTTAAAAACCGTATCAAAAATTTTGTACTGTACTGTACAGTGTACTGTACTGTAATTACTTTTACCAATGAATGTTAGCTTGCTGTCACACGATGAGGGTTAGACAGTCAGACACAGGTACAGTATAGTACTGTTATATGTCAATGTATTGCTATATGATGAGAGATGTTTGCTGCATCCACATAAACTCAAGCTCAATAGTGTACAATACTGTATCTATTCTGGAAGAACCTAATTTAGCCTTTAATATTTTTTACTACTGTAATTAAGATGAACTGAATTTTCCCTTTTTAATATTGTTAATGTTAAACAGACTAATATTAGGGCCTTAAACATAATACAGTCTGGGGCCTAAAACAGGTTAGTTACTACTAGTGTTGATGGGAGTTGAGGGTAGAAGTCAATATAGGAAGAGAACCTGGTAAAAATAACTTACCTGGTGAAATTTAGCGAGTAAATGATCCTATTTACGGTATTTTAGCTTATTAGGTTCCTCGTGTGGACCAAGTATCATTCAGAGTATAGTTTCAAAGTTACCATATACTTTGTTAGTCTCTTATTTTTCTTATTTTATTTTTGGCTTATACTGGATAAATGAGTCTGTATAAGGAGCAAGACTGATTGATTGTTAAGATGATGCAAAAGACATTTATGTGCAGGATATGCCACAAGAGGTCATTTTATGTATGTTGATAAACTGTACTTGTAGTAAAATGTGTTTAGTAGTAGTTGGGAACTGATTCTCATATCCAGGATGGATGAGATGTGGTTAATGGAGGACTTCCTGTGAGGGATGTAGGAGTTTGTTGCTACTACTGTACTGTGATAAAACTCTTTGTGTTAATACCGGAATGTTCTTAGTATTAGATAGTGCTTAATCCTCGGAATGGTGTACAGCACTGGTGTATTAGTGTTTGTTGCTGTCCTTATACACATTCTTATAGATTAGATAAAACAAGTGATACAACAGTTCACAGAATCATAGTTATATTAAATGTTAATCATATTTTTAGTTGTTATGGCCATTACTGGTTGCTTATCCATACAGTATTTCCATATTTTTTAAGTGGGATATAATAGTTGATGAAAACCTTTATTAGTTGACTAAAACTATTTAAAACAATATAAATTTATCTTATTTATTCTAAGTAACCAATGACTAGCAGAAGAAAAGTCACATTGTGTTGCTTGCTTATCTATACAGTACCAGAAGCATCAGTTTACAGGAGTATATTATAAGATTGATAGAATGAAACAGCTTTACACACACACTCACACACACATTCATGCTTCCTTTGCTGCTTAGGCTTTGAGAACTTTGCTCAAATTTATGCCAAAGCTTAGATACCCCCCCTTGTTCTTCTCTAGGTCAGGCGGTCATTGAGTTGATGGAGCTATGCCCGGGGTCTCCTGTGAGGCTAGCAATTGATCAAGGTTTTATGGATGTCTTGAAAGTTGATTTGGTTGTCTTAAAGAGATAGTCGTGTGTATGATCGTTATTTCTCCAGTCTTAACTTCTTATTGATTAGGATAATTTTAGGTTGGCAGAAGCTAGGCTTGTATATCTTGATAAATTTTAATGTTGCTTATGGAGATTCCTTGATTGTAGTTTATGTAGTACATATAATAGTGGCTTTAGTGGCAGAGATTGTGTGATCTTCTCTCTTAAATATTCAGGAACTACCGGTACTCATCATTGACCATTAAATTATATATATTTTTTTGTTTTGTTAGCAATGTTAACACCTTCCCCTAGCTTCTCCATCCTAAAAGTGTAGAAAAGTAACATGCATCCAGTTTGTGTGCTGCCACTAACTTAACAGTATAATTTAGTGTTTCTTGTTGAAATATATACCATCTTAACTGCCTGAATATAGAAAGACGAACCAAAACATAACTTGACATATAGAGAGTTGGAATCCATTTTTCCATTGGCATTTACATTAGGACATAAGGTCTGAAGTTATTACACCCTTTTGTATGGTATATGTAAACTTACTGTACTGGTGAATGTCCCCCCAAAATTTTAGTTAGATGAAAATATCCTGTAGTAGATGGTTTTGAGTTCTTTATGAGCATTATAAACATTCTTTAACTATGGTACAGTACAAGATGTTAGTTTATGGAGGAGAAAGTATTCACGGGTATTTGAAACCTTTCAAGTTTTACAATGGGGTGTTGCTCAAGTTGAAATTAGAGTACAAGTCATTTGTCTTGTTTGAAAATTGTGCTGCTTTGGTTGAGGGGTAAGCAATACTGTATACTTTTCATTACAGTTCAGTATGTCTTAAGAGCACTATATAATTTTTTTTTATTCATGTTAACATTTCCTGAGGATATACTGGACTGTATAATGCTAGAGAAGAATATTACCATTTTGTGTAATAACAAAGTAGGTAGGGTTGTCATAGTGCATTTAATTATATTTATTAGTACTGGCTAATGTAATACAGTAAGGTTGCCATTAGGTTCTGTACAGATTTGTAGTTTGAGTTCAGATACTGCACTTGAGTTTGTCTATCATAGAGACACTGTCTTATGGCTCGTACAGTATTCCTGTGAGTGGGACATAACCGGGACATCTATGTTAGATATTCAAGTGGGGACTTTAGTATCCTATTCAGTAGTTTGGCATGATTAGCAGATAACCAGAGCTTTTATGGTTAAAGGGTTCCTGCCTGTCTGTGGTGCTGGTGCTGTGAGCCCCCTTGTGGTAGTTAACTGATCAATAGTAGTTTATTCAGTGTTGGTGATGAGAACCCGACCATTTTAATGCTCAGTAACACTTATTTTTTTTATTTTTTTTATTTAGATGATGTCCTTTGTATTATTAAAATTTAGTGATTGTATTAACATGAATAAATGTTTCAAATCACTTCATCAGTGATGAGCCAGTGTGTTTGTACTAATATGCGTGGGATGATGTAGGATGTCCTGTGTTTTTGTTCAATTAATCCTTTTGTGTGTAGTTACTGACATGCATAACTTTTTGTAGATATATTTTGTGTGAAACATGAAATTCATTATTGTACTTGTTATCTTGTACTACTGAAGAGAGGCAGTTAATTATAGGAATTGGAGGTGATTGCTGTAATGTTTTCTTATGAAAGATAAATTTGTTACCTGCAGTGCGACAGCCAAACCCCATCCGCCTGCGAGACCTGATACGGCAGATTCGTTCGGCCAAGACAGCCGCTGAAGAGAGAGCAGTTGTGAACAGGGAGTGTGCCTACATCCGCCTTACGTTCCGGGAAGAGGATTCTGTGTGGAGATGTCGCAATGTTGCCAAACTTTTATACATACACATGTTAGGGTGAGTGTTTTGTTAGTGGTATAGTCTTTCTAAATAAATTAATTAGTGGTCTTGACAACAACTTTTTCAGGCATAGTTAACTGTATACTAATGGAATTTTTATTATAAAGTACAACTAGTATTTATTTTTGTTATCCGCTACTGTATAATGGGATACAAGCAACACTGCTCTGTATCCTTGCAACTGCTTAAGGTATGGTACTGCAGTGAAGCTTTATGCAATATTATTTTATAATATCACCTAAAGTTACTCATAAAAAATTCATGGCCACGTCTCTCTCTCTCTCTCACTCCATTGTGATATTTCCATAAAAAATTCATGGCCACGTCTCTCTCTCTCTCTCACTCCATTGTGATATTTCCATAAAAAATTCATGGCCACATCTCTCTCTCTCTCTCTCTCTCTCTCTCACTCACTTCATTGTGATATTTCCAAAGATTTATGCAGTCATGTTAAGGTCTTGCTGATTATGTCTTTCCTGTTTAGATTGGTAACTTTTTGTACAAACACATACCTGGTGTGGACATTTTTTTACAATTAGGAATTATATTGGACAGTGACTCCTTGTAATGTTTCTTGGGTTTTATTTGATATGATTGATGACATTGATGTCATAGCTGTGAGTTGATGACCTCTCTTTCCTCAGATATCCTGCTCACTTTGGTCAGATGGAATGCCTTAAGTTAATTGCATCACCACGTTTCACTGACAAACGAATTGGCTACCTCGGAGCCATGTTACTCTTGGATGAACGGCAAGACGTGCACTTACTCATCACAAACTCCCTCAAGAAGTAAGTAAGAAATTTTAAATTGTTGCTTAACATGTTTATGATTTTACTGTAAATGACAACAGGTTTGTTTCTGTGTTAGTACGTTTTTCACGGGAGGCAGTAAATGGGTCTTTGCAGATGATGATGATGGCAGAAAACGTACAGAAGTGTGAACTTATAATTACTGTACAGTACACAACTGGCACTTGAGCTTAGACTGAATTTGATAGTTGTGAAGCTTTCTGGTGTTATTTAGAATTGATCAATTGTGTTGACTGCTGAGATATGTTAAATAGATTGCAGTACTGTTTTTATTTCTGCTCGATAATGTACAGTTCTTTTAAGTTGTGCATAAACACTTACTCTGTAACTTTAAGTGTATGGTTCATCTTAAGTAAATAGGAACTGAGTAAAGAAGAAGATAGAATAGCCTGTTTCATTTTTGTAACTATACTGGTACTAATTAAATCTATCCATTTTCCAGTGACTTGAATTCATCAACTCAGTTTGTACAAGGCTTGGCATTATGCACCTTAGGAGCTATTGCCTCTCCTGAGATGTCCCGTGACCTCGCGGGAGAAGTGGAGAGGCTTCTAAAATCCTCCAATGCTTACATACGGAAAAAGGCTGCTGTTTGTGCTCTACGAATCATCTGCAAAGTTCCGGAGTTAATGGAGATGTATCTGCCAGCCACACGCTCACTCCTCTCTGAAAAGAATCATGGTGAGCCACTTGCCTTTGTATTGCTTGTGGGGTTTATGTAAGTAGTGTGTAAATATTCATATACCTTATCAGGGGGGATGGATGGATGATTTACTGTACCATATATCGCATCATATTTATGACATACGACTCCCTTAATGCAAAGCAAACGTAAAGTTAATATATACCAATGTTTTTGATACATTCAACATTGGTATTGTAAGAAGGTTTTAAGTTTTCCCTCGGTTTTATGAAATTTAAAATAAGTGAGGTACAGTACAGGGCAATTTATATTCAAGAGCGTCTTTAGTGAACACTGTCTATGTACTGGATAGATATATAAAAGAACACATGATATTTAAGTATAACTGATTGTTTGACCATACTGTAGTTATTGGAAAGAACAACAAGTGATTAAATAATTAAGTTTAGTGTTGAAAATAATCTAAATGGAAGAATGATTTTTAAAAATATACAAAATTCTCATAGGAACACTACAAGTAAGGATGTATGATTAATTGAAATTACCCGGTATATCTATCTGAAAGGTAATGGAAAACAATGATGAACCAGGTAATATAGTACTTATTATTTTTCACCTTTGGATGTACAGGTTATATTAAAGAAAATAGACACATAACTCTTTAATTCATCGGTTACAGAATGATTAGGAAGGCAGCTCCCTCTATATGTAGTGTGAGAGTGGGTTCCAAAGGCTTGATTATCTATGAAAGACATGAGAATACAGCACTATACTAAGCCTTTGGTACACATGTTTGATATTATTGATATATTTAATGATACAACTACAGTTATTTTGCCTTACAGGTGTGTTGATCACGGGTGTCACACTTATTACTGAGATGTGCAGACAATCTCCGGACATGCTGACACACTTTAAAAAGGTGGGGCATTTGAGAGATTTATTTTACAGTTCAAGTAGAATAATTATTTGCTGAGTTAGATGCCATTATACCCAGTGTCCTTTATTTAAGATATTATGCAGTTTTTTATGGATGATGACGTATATTAATATTCTCAGGCAGTTTACCATTATTTGTTTGCAGATGTGGTACTAATCCTCTCTGTTTTAAAATTCATATATATGTTTATATTACTGGTGAGGAACTCCAGACCTTCTGTCTACAGTCCATTTCATGTGAATATTGGAAAATGTTTACTGTATTTAAAATTGTTTCATCACGCCATTGTTCTTTCTTGTAAAGCTTTTAGATGTTTAGAAATAACTCTTATCCTTATGGTACAGTATTTTGAAAATATATTTACTTATATTTGACTATGAAAATTACTAAAAATTAGCAAGGATTTTGTTTTTATAAATAAAACATAGATCAAATCAATTTAACTGTTAGATCAAGAATTACGGTACAGTACTAGGTTTTGCTTTTATGGTTATTGAATGCCCCTCCTCTGCCCTGCCAGAGGCATATCATATTCACATTATGCAGGGTGAGGTGCATACCTGAGACGTTAGATGATTGGTATTTGTATTTTGAGTTTTCTGGTGTTTTTTTTTGGCAGGGTGAATCATGTTCAGTGGATACATCCTGGTGTTATATTAAAGTTAATTTTTTCTTATGTACTGTATGTAACCCACAACATCTATGGATTGGGTAGTTATGTGCAAGATATAGTTGGCTATGAGATAGGAATCTAGAAACATAAGTTTCATTACCATCCTGTGTAAGGAAGTGTTTACTTGCTGTCACCATATGACAGCTTTATCTCCATGTCCCTCATTTGTGTAGGTTAGCTGTAAGTACCCAATGGCATGGTGTCCTGTTTGCCATCAAGTACCTTTGATGCAAGTTTTACTGGGGGGTGACCTTCCTATTACCAACCCACCTTTACAGAGTGGGAACTGAGCATTATAAATAGGATTTCCAAGCACCCTCTTAACTAGCAAGACAAGGTCACTGCTCTGAGGCAATCACACATTACTTGCTTACCCATAATAATGGTTGGCCATTGTGTTTGAGTGAACAGGAAATTGTTGTGGTTTTGAGAATAAGAGTACTGTTTGTATTATGTGTAAAGAAGTATGAGCTAGTATGTGGGTCTCGGTGATTAGTCTCTCCCACCACAGAGAATGTGCTACCAGAACTCAAATCACCTTTGAACTCTGGTATTTCGACACCACTATAGTTCCCTGTCGACCAGCCATATACGGGCTTTATAAATTGGGCTGAACAATTAACACAAAACTGAATGTATCCTTTCCACAGAGTATCCCTTCCTACTGTTGACATTTAATCCACAATTGACCATGCTGTTGTCTAGTTTTATTTTATAATTATTGCTCCACCCACCTTCCCAACCTGTATTAGTGTTACAAGTTCTCTTTCAAGTCACCACTCCATTTGAGACATTTCCCTCACAGATTTATCCCTTGTTGCCTCTTTTCACTTCCATTACATTTGTTGACAAGTCTTCTCCCACATCCTTATGAACTCACAGTTGAGGATCTATTACAACTTTCAACCGTGTTCACAACTCCTTTAAACCCTTCACTTGTTGAGTTAGGGTTTGGTGACTGGCTCTTGTTGTATCTCTCCCTTTGTCTTTGGCTCTTGTTGTAACTTTCCCTTTGTCTTCCTTGTCTCTCCTACTGGCCTTTACCTTGCACATTTCATCATGCCGTTCCTTTCTTTCACATTCCATAAAACTGTTTTAGTCCATTAAAGAAAATAGTTATTTTCTTGACCCCTCATTCACGGTGTTATTCAACCACACACACAATATATGATACTTATACATACATGAAAAACCTTGTGTGTAAATATTGTGTTATAGATACAGAATTATATTACCTTCTAATATCCAGATAGACTAATCATATAATCCTATAATCACTGTTACGGTAGTCAACTACGAAAGTCCGTTCACCTCTTCCCCTGAACCGCGAACCCTGAGATTCAGACCCGTGAACCCAAGGCAGTAGACTGGTACATTATTCTGACCATGAATACTTTGGATTCGTGATTCTAAATCTCAAGGTTCGTGGTTCAGAGGGAAAGTCAAACAGACTTTAGTAATTGACTGTACCTCCCTTAATATCTCAAGCCAAATTATCTTTTATCAAGGTCGCTCTTCCTCTATCTGTGAACTGAAAGCTCCTCTCTGGCTACTCCAAAACACTTGTGTACAGTATATTATTGATCTTTCAAAGTGTATATCCCAAAATAACCAACCGTAGATGATAATACTCTTTCTCCTGAGTAAGTGTGAAACTGTTTATTTTCATTGTTACTCACATTGCCTCTACTTACCTACTTATCACACAGCTCCACCTTACAATATCATCCACAACACATGATTAAAAGATGGAAATCTAGCGGACAATATACTGTGCTTTGTCAGCTTTATAAAGACCTGGCAAAAACGGGGACACTAACACTCACAAAAGAATATCACTTCTTTAAACACTTGTCCTCCCTGACTAAAAGGCTACTGAACCATGTTTACTTAAATGTTACAAAACCTGGAATTTAGTCATTTCTTACAGTTAATAGTGAGGTTGTATTGAACTCTTTGTGATGGTGTAAATTTGTAATAGGTTCTTGCAACTGGCATTATGGTGAGGTTGGATGGTATGTACGGTATCATCTTTGTTGGGCATCTCTGGGAGGTGTGGTTAATAAGGTGAAGTGTAATGGTAAATAATGATTTGAAATTTCATGTTTGTGTATTAAAAGAGTAGTTTTAAGTCAAGATATTCCACTTCACTGGCACCCCTGCATTGTACATCACTTACACTCAAGTTTCATTAAAATTTATTCTTGTAGTAGTAAGTGTGAGTAAAATTGATTTTTTTAGTAAAGAATTTCAAACAAATTTATTCTTAAAAATAATAACTAGATGACTCCATTCATAAGTAGTCCACCTGTGCTGTAATTGTTGATCATATATTAAGAATTTTGGCTTCATGAGATGTACAGTACAAGATGTGGTTCTCTGCTCCCACTCTCAAAACATTTTTTATTACTCACTAGGTTTTCTACACAAAGAAACAGTTTCAAAAACAATTTCATTTTCAGTTGATAGGTCTTGTGGGACTTGATTTTTAAGCATAGTGACTTGAGCTAGATATTAAGAAATGCAGCAGTTGTACCTAGATAGATATAGAGAATACTTGTATAGATTTTTGCAATAGTAGTAACAAAGTAAGCGATTTGTAGGGTATGATTGTTGACTTTAATAAAATAGTGACTCTTAGCTGTGGTGAAACCTTTTATGATGCAAGCTTCTCTTGACTTAAAGAAGGGATCATTTTTTTATGACAATTTGAAGGTGAATAAGGGAAGGTGAAGATTAACATGGTACTGAGAATTAAGTGTCTACTCATACATAAGAAAGTGATGGAACCGTCAGACCAGAAATTACTTTGACCACTTCGGTGTCCAATAATTTGACACACCAGGGAAAAATTCCATACAAAGCTCTCGCATTTGGCTTCACATTGGTAGCTTCATTTTCCTTACAATAGTTATAATAGTTTTATTTTCTGTGTAATTCTATGTTTTAAAATATTATAAAATATTTTTAAAAGGGAATAAGGGAAATGACGTAGTAATCACGCTTACCAACCCTATCGAGACGCCTGGAGAGGTAGTGTCCAGTTTGAAGCCCATTGCACCAAGGGGTAAAAGTAATTTGGTCTGACTGTACACATCAAATATGGGGTGTCATAAAAATTCTGTATGTAAGTTTGGGAATGCAATAAAGTATTAAAATTCGTAATATTTTAGTAGAGTAAATCTGCCTCACATTGAAGTGGTTTTCACTGTAAAAGTATCCCCCAGTATATGAGGAATTTTCATTCCTTAGGTGGAAAAAAAATTATCTGTATATTGCATGGTAGAATCTATTTATTATTGGGGGGTTGTGTTTTAGGGAGAGAAAATATTGGTCATCTGGGTGGGGTCAGGCAACATTCACCACCATTATCTCCTGTAAAATAATAGTAAAAATTTGAAAAAGATGAATGTAACCAGCGATTGATTTAAAGCAATAGATGATGGCTCCAAATCCTGTCATATGCCTTATAAAAGAAATTTACCATAAAACAACTCCCTAGCCAGCCAGTCAGTTCAAAGAACTTGATTAACTCTAGCTAAGATCAGACAGGCACCAGTTGAGTTATAACCTAAGGTAATATTCAAGCAATGTAAGAATTAGAAATACGTAGTACTTAATCCCTTTCTTTGTGTATGATAGAAACTGGAATTGCTATGTCAAAGGTTTCACTGAATACCAGAAATACAACTAGTGATGTGTGCGTAGATGACTGTTGATAAGTATCTTGTGAAAGTTTTTATTAAGTAGATGCATTAGATAGCTGCAGTGATGATTTAGTCATATTTTGGTATGTCTTAATACAGTACTAGTGCATTGTAGTTGTTGCATAGGATGGATGGATTGATGAAGTACAATTTGGTTATTTTTTTTTTTAAGGGAGCTTGGGTATATTGCTCATGCTTAGCACCCATAGTGAAAGTTTTATTATGTAGGTGTAAAAAAATCTAAATTAATCAAGGGTAGCAACTGCAATGCTCTTACCAATAACTTAGGATTAACTGTAGTAGTATTTTGTAAGTGTTTACTCGTTTTAAATGGTACTGAAGTTGTGCTGTGTCGTACTAATAGTGGCATGTATTTTTTTCCCCTCCCGCCCAACGCTCCTCTTAATGCCCTAGGATCCCGAGCACACAGAGGTAAAGCAGTCAGATTTAGCTCGCCTCGCGGGTGTTGGTGGTGATGGTGGAGATCCTTTTTATATATACATATATCTGCACCTTACCATAGGACATGCCTCACTCACTTCATGCTGACTATTGGCTTGAATAGTATAAAGCATGATCCTCGTCTTGGCTCTGTAGAAACTTTAGAACGTGTTAATGGGAGATTACTTTTTTTTTCATTTGGTTTACTCTTTTAAGTTTGGTGTTAAGTAATTGTGGGTTTTGTTTATGCATGCGTGCAATGTAATGTTTTATTTTCTACCTCTTTGCAGAAGGTCCAGCCTTGATGTATAGCTTTATGCATAAATATATTCTCTTTATTCGTTTTAGTACCAAAAATACACAACACACTTTTGACACAAAAGAAAAAGATGACAGTGAATGAAGGGAGAGTTGATGTTGCCATAGTCTCCAGCCACCCTCCACCTGTACAGTACATTAGTGGGAAAACACATGTGAACTTTTGTGGCTGTCTCAGTCTATTTGGTATTTGTAGATAGAGAGAAACATTTGGAGCAGACACTATGACTTGTGAGAATAGGTTAACAATTCCTCAGTAATGTATACAGTGAACCCTCGAAGATCCGGACTAAAAGGGGAGACCACCTGTCCGGAAAAGCCGATTGTTCGGATTTTCCGGCGAATAATAAATTATATAAGAAACACCAGAAATACAGTACTAATGTAGTGATAAACAAATTACCGTATATAAACCAAGCATTTACCTGTGATAACATAATAACATTGTATCATTACTAGAGTGAATGAAATAATATTCCCACAAACAACAATTGTCAACTCTGTTTATGTTTCCCACCACCTCAGGCACCTCTGTCCAAGCAACTGACTGGCCAGGTAGCGCCCATTGACCTAAAATTTTCTTTACTCTCGTTTGGGAATGTTTCTTAAGGAAACTTCTAGGAGACTTCTTAGCCCAGAACCCTCAAATTTTTTGTCCGGATCTTCCGAAATCCAGACTTCCCTGGTTCGGATCTTCGAGGGTTTACTGTACATTATATTTAGTTAGACAGACAGCTTACTTTAATGGTGACTGGCACTAGTTTCATGCTAATTACTTTGCCTCATGCTATAGGTATTGTATTGTATTGAATTTTACTTGATCCTGAAGATGAATGAGTTGAAAATGTATTTTTTCAGTTCCTGAGTTGTATTAAAGTTAGCTTATTCAGGGATATGTTTTAGTTTTTTTTTATCAGTACAGTATGCTCCACAAGTTCGCGGATTTTTACTTCGCGGTTCTCAGTTATTCGCTGTGACACTGGATGTACTCAAGAATGTCTGTGGGTAATTTTAAAGTTGCTGGCATTTTTGCGGCTGGGACAGGGAGCCATTCATTCTAGAGACAGTAATTTCTTTTACCTGTATTGTAAATATGTGTGTGTGTAGACACAACACATTCAAATAAATAATAATTGGAAAATACTCTCACAAATAATCAGAAACAAATTTATTAAAAATGCGAGTCTACCCTCAAGTAAAAATGTAAACCCCCGTCTGCAAATGATGTTATTTGCGGATTTGGCGATTTGCAGCCATTTTGAGAACCTAACCCCGCGAATTTGGGGGCCCCCTATACAGTATATCCCAAAAAGTTGAGAATTTCCATATAAGTATTTTCAGTGTTACTCAGAGGGCTTATGGAACTTCCGGAAAGTTGATTAAATGTTTGTAAGTGTTAGAAAAATTAATTAAGTGAGACAAATGTGAAATGAGGGTTGAGGTGGTGTTGAGTCTTACGAAGTTAGGGTTAAAATGGTGAAGTGTTTTGAAATTAGATCCAACACAGTGTATCTTATGAAACTCAGGTCAAGGTGGTGTACACTATAAAGGTAATCATTGGTCTTGGAAACTATAAAAAAAAAACGAGTAAGCTTTTATTGTTCATTTATAGGAGTGTTTCACTAGTTTATCCCACAGAATAACTTCTTATAGTTATACTGTAGTATAAATGCACAGAAATTTGATTTATTTGATCACTCTACAGTATAGTAAACCCTTGATTTCTTCGGTGGGGGGGGGGGGTTGCTTCAGTGATCAGAGGTAATAACGTGTGGGAGAATATTAGGATACATACCATGACCAAAATTTGTATGCTGTTCTCAGAAGCCCACCATGCTAACAATATAAATACAAATTATCCCATTATGGTGAATATTAAAGAGTTTCTTGACTACTGTTTTAATCTAATTTTAAAGGAGATTCATGAGCTGACAAGAAAATCTTGCTTTTATATATTGTATATGTATACACACAGTGGAGTCACGATAATTCAAGGGTTAGGTACCAGAAGACATCGTTAATATCAGTTCGCAAATTACAATTCAATTGATTTAAATGCAAGTACAGTAATTAGTTAGGTTTCAGAGGCCAAAAAATACACACACTGTTCCTGAACTGCTTTAATAAATACTGTACTAATATTGTACATAGTATAATTCAGTACATAGCAAAATAAAGTAACCCAAAGACATTGCACAAAAAATAGTTCTATATTACATAAAGAGGTCCTTCCCTTCTCATAATCATCCTCTGGGTTACACCTGGCTGGCTGCTCTGTGTCAGCAAAGTACCAGGAATTTATTACTGTATGACAATAACTTATCTGGGGTCGAGTGTGAGATTTGTTGATTTTTTTTTATCATTACTTTACTGTACAGTATATGTTGCAAATTATCAGAACCACTGCATATATATATATATATATATATATATATATATACAGTATATATATATATATATATATATATATATATATAATATATATATATATATATATATATATATATATATATATATATATATATATATATATATATATATATATATATATATATATATATATATATATATATATATATATTTTGTTAAAATATATACAGTATATATACAGTACCTTTATATATTAAAATGTTTTATAATTTATGCCTGAGGAAAATTTGATAATAATTATGATATTTGCTCAATACAATTTATTTCATATTTTCATTGCATCAGGGAGGTTTGAAATGTAAAATATACTATTTGTACATATTTATAATTTTTTGCATATAATTGCAAGTGTCATTTGTGGTATTTTGAAGAAGGCAAGGTAGAAATGGAAGTTAAAGTCTAAATTAATTCATTGTAGCATATCAGAATCATAGCAATCAAGGGTTTATAGTATAGTACACAGAGAAGGTAGCACATAAGTTGTCCAGATAAAGGACAGCCATCACGAATATCTGAGTATACGAGCAAGTTATAGCTTTTAGCGTTTACTGTAGTCTAATGTGACCTTTTCCTCTTAGATTATTCCTTGTATAGGTTGGCGGTCTAAATAATGCAGCATAATTGGGAAAGGTTTAATTATTGTTTTCACTGATAGTGTAATCTTGTTTGTATTGCTGTTCTGTGGCTCATCACTCAATTGTACCTCCACCTTGTCTAGTGTATTTTTCACAGCTTTTGAATCTGAAAATATTGAAGTCATTACTGCATTTATCAGTTCAAAGAGGCATAAGTCACTTTTCAAATTATTTTTATTTTTTCTGCATTTTAGAAAATTTTCCTTTCCTATGCCTTATCCTCGGAAAAGTTGTGGAGACCTCCATAACCCACAAAAACCTTTTCTGTATGTATGTAAAATAATAAATTGAAGTATCATTTTGATTTAATGTCTAAAGAATATCAGGTTTATTGGAGATCTTTTTCAAATGCCTTTACACAAAATACATTGTAACAAACACTTTTACGCCCGTATTATTAAACAACATCTTCCCTTGAAGAGGGTCGTCATGTTTCAACCCAAGTTTTAAACTAAATGAGTCCTGAGGGACACCGCAGTACATTACTTAACGGGGTGGTGTGGCGGTAAAATGAACTAATTCCAATATTATAAATTAATTTTATTGAAATTAGTTAATTTTACCGCCACACCACCCCGTTAAGTACTGTACTGCGGTGTCCCTCGGGACTCATTTAGTTTAAAACTCGGGTTGAAACATGACGACCCTCTTCAAGGGAAGATGTTGTTTAATAATACGGGCGTTAGTCTTGTGATGACACTAAATAATCAACACATATGAGCTATAGGCAACTCATAGATAAATGTGAGGCTTGTAAATTTGATATATTTTTATAGACAGTTTTGCTTTTACTATAATATAATATATTATACCATAACTTATTACTGTACCTCAAATGCTTATCAGCGCAGTGTTCATGTCATCGTGGTTGTCCGTCTGTCTTCCTTCCGTCCACTTGTTGTTAGATTCCACCTTGTGTACACTCTGAGGTTCATACAGCTTGTTGTGGTTTCACTAAGTTTATCTCATATCATCTTGGGGAGAACTTTAATAGCTCTATTGATTTTGGTGATTACTGAGATTTAAAGCTCTTCCTTTGGGTTTCAGTTTTTCTTATACAGTACAGTAATGTGTTGTGATGCTGGTTTCTCTAAATTTTTGTTTTATGTTCATTGGTGTATTATTGGGTCAAGTTTGTATCAAAGGTTGCATGATATTGTGAAGAACTTTTGGTCTTTTGGATATGATGTTAGGGCATAATTGTTTATGCCTTGTAAATATGATAGTTGTAAATAATTATATCTGGTACAGAATATCCTCCTATACAGCATTCACCTGTAATTAAGAAAAGTACATACACACAGTAAACCCTCAGGATAACTGACTAATTGGGGGAATATCATGGTCGCTAAAGCTGAATATCCATTAATACTGATTGCCCAAGAATTATTTCAAACTAAAAGAGAGTTTGAAATACCATACCTAGGCACAGTATCTCGAAATAGGAAATTCTATTACTATTGTATAAATTTGAAGTACATTCATAGTCACAAAATAATTTACATTAATTCTTCATTAATGCTTAAGATATGATTTTAAAACCCCTGGTTATAGAAAAAAGAAAATTTTTAATATATTTTATCCATAAATATACACATTTCCCTCTGTTCAGATCACGAGTCACCCCTAAATGTAGCTTTAACTGTACACTGCAACATTGAAACTTAAAATTTTTGGCATTCAAACAGCAATAACAAAAACATAAAAAAACAATAATGAAAGTACAAAAGGCCAAAAAATATACAAGTCAGTGTACACACTGCGTCATAGTTCTCGGAGACCGTAGGCGCCTCGACGCTCACCTTAGCAATACATTAACGGTGCTCTGTGCCGTAGACTCTCTGACCTCCACAACCTCACCATACAGCTTCATGGTGGAAACCCATCAACTCCTGAAGCTTTAAACCTTATGATAATTTTTTTCTTTGCATTCCGTATGTAGGAATGTGTGTGCATGTAACTGAGAAAATAATTAAGAAAATTAAAAGAAATCCACCTGAAATACAAGTTAGAAAATAAGTATAATGTAAAATATAGCTCACAGGATAAAGGAGCATGTAACAAGTGTGGTGATGAGTAGAAAAATGCCTAATATGTTATAATGTTTGTTTATTGGTCATGTTTTTCAATAATTTTCAACTTGTCTGTTTTTCTTTATTACTTACATCATACATGCATACAGTTTTCCAGTTAGCATTCATGCAGTGACGAATTATCAAGAAACCCTTCGGGGATAACGGACATCTTTCTGTTATCTTGAGGGTTGTCCGATAGGTTTAGGGTGTCTGTTATAACCAGGTTCTGTTATATACAGTATCAGTTATACTGAAGGTTTACTGTAGCTACTGTTTCATGAAACTACATTTAAAATCGGATTGGTGTTCTCGATTAAATTATTTTGCAACTGATCTGGCTTTCTGTACAGTACATGAATATTAAACTTAATCTTTCCTCTGGTGCAAGTATCCATGACATATTTGTTGGTGTCCTGTGATTCCTTTACCTGAAAGAAAGAAGAAGAAGAAACCAGTAATTTTCCTGTGGTGTGCGACCTATGAGACAGACACCTTGTACAGTGCTCTGCTTGTTTATACTCTCCTTCCTGTGCAGTCCCTCTTTTGTGACTAATCTCTCCATAAGTTCATACTATCCTATGGCCTATATTTTTTAACTGCCTCTTCCCTTTAGTCCAATTTGTTACACAATTCTCACCATTTACCCCTCGGTCACTTTTCCAACCAATGGGTATTTTTACTACCCTTACTGGATGTGTCTTGGACTGTCATTGCATTTAGTCTTACAGTTTTAGATAGAGTGGTTAAAATTATGGTAGGAATCATCCACTAAACACAAGCATGTGTCTGATTAGTGTCAGGGGTCAAATTTGGTGTAAAGCTAAAAATAACAATGTTGATACAGAAATATACTGACACAGTTATAGTAAACATTGCAGAAGGATCTGTTTGAAACCCAGTAGGTCTTATCATTACTGTACGAGGCAAAGATGTGGGTGGGTTTTTTAGAGTCACGGGGTTAAGGCCGAGGTTAGAATTTTGACCAAACTAAAAATCAAATATTCTTAATGCTGTTACATTTTGTGCTTCCCACTTGTATATACTGTACCTCTGTTAGTACAGGTATACATTTATACATACTCATTGAAGTATTGTTTATGTTTTTATTTAATATTTAAGAATTTTTTATCCATTGTTAAAGAAATATTGTTACGTTCTATAAACTCGAAGATTTTGATTGGAAAATAATTTGAGGAATATTTTACTCCTTCCATCTTGTTTGGTGAGCAAGTAAAAGTGAGTTAGTAACTCATGGCAAAATTGGGTTTGGTATAAATTTGGAGGAGGTGGAGAATGATGGAATCCTTTGATTTATGATACAAAAATATTATCTTTCTTTCCCTATCAAATAGTGTGCTTCTCTCACAGTATTCCCTGTACATGTGGCTTTGGTGCTTTTAGTTGAATATGTGAAAGGTTGTCTTCTGTCTCTGCATGTGCAGAGTGTACCTCCCTTTCTTTTTTCACAGTTACTTATGCACTGTTTACCTTCACCATTTATTGACTGTAGATACACCTGTGTCCTAGTGTTAATGTAAATTCTGTGTGTATTATGAGAAGCACTGAGAAACACAATAAGTGCAATTTAATTGTAATTTTTTTTTTACTTCACATTGACTCTAAAAAAATTTAAAAATAAAATGTAACTAGATCGTAGTGTTTGTGTCATAGACATGGCATTTGAAATTATAATACATTTGTTACCAGATTGTCCCCAACTTGGTGCGTATCCTCAAGAATCTAATCATGGCCGGCTATTCTCCTGAGCATGATGTCCAAGGTGTTTCTGATCCCTTCCTGCAGGTCAGTCATTAATCTTTCTATCCACGATGTACTGTATATGGTCCTCAAAAAGATTAGAGCAGAAGGGTGTGGCCTCCAGTGGGTGGGAAAGTTATTGACAAACAGGATCAGCATATGAAACTCCTTAAGTGCAATCTGTCACTCACACATGGACAAGTAATTATTTAAAGATGATTTAATTATACTGTATCAAGTCCTTTTGTTTATTAATGAAGAAATCATATCTCATATTGCTCACTGTATATTATCTTTAACAAGCAGTGTAATTTTTCTCAGTTACTTGGAAAAGAACAGATTCATTCTCACTAGACATTATAGATAAATCATAAGTTCATGAAAACCTCCATACGTTTTTTTAATTGTTTATAAGTATTCACTGTTCACTGTATTTGTTTGTGTGTGTGTGTGTTCCATTTTTATCCATATTTTAACTTTGGTAGAATTTTTGTGACATGAAATCTATTAATTACCAGGTGAAGATTCTGAAGTTATTACGAATCTTGGGGTACGGCGACAGTGAGGCCTCGGAGACGATGAATGACATCCTTGCACAGGTGGCCACCAACACCGAGTCCTCCAAGAATGTGGGCAACGCCATCTTGTATGAAACTGTGCTCTCCATCATGGATATCAAGAGTGAGAGTGGACTGAGGGTAAGTGGCAAACATCTCAATAGGAAAGAATGTGTGTGAATGGGGGAGGGGTATCTATCTATCTATCTATCTATCTATCTATCTATCTATCTATCTATCTATCTATCTATCTATCTATCTATCCAGGACAGACCAACATATTTCTTTTTTGAAATTGTGTAGTGTTTGTGAGTATTCTATTCATGGTCTCAGAGCCCCTCAAATAAGTGTGGTACATATTGTATATCTTGCCTCTGTCTTCCCTACGGTAGTCATTTATTACTATTCATATTACAGTACTTTTAACACTTAATTTTAATTCTCCCAACAATATAGTGTGACAGTATAGCAGGCACATAGTTTATTTGTATGTGGACAGTTTTTAACAATTTACTCCGAACTACTGTATTGGGTTCTAATTGTAGTCTTTTTTCCATTGGTGTGAATGCTGCTGTCTCTCCAAATTTCTGCCTGATTAAATATACTACCACCAATGGGTTGTATCACTCAGGAGTTAAATATACTGTATAGCATTGACCAGTAAAGGAGGTGTGCTGTATATAATCTTTGGTGGTAGCTTTATTAAGTTGGGAATATTGACTAGTGTAGGCCTTCTAGTATTTGTTTTTTTCTGGAATATTTTCATAAGTGCAAATTGGTAAAATAAATTATTCCAAGGACCACTTGTATGACATACATTCCTTCCTTCCTTCCAGGTACTGGCCATTAATATTTTAGGACGTTTCTTACTGAATGCAGATAAAAACATCCGATATGTGGCACTTAATACCCTTTTACGGGTTGTTCATGCTGATAATTCTGCCGTCCAGCGCCACCGCTCAACCATCTTGGAATGTTTGAAGGTAATGGATCTTTAGGTGCTTTAGTTCTAAGGTGGACATGAACCAGGTGTATTTGCTTAACTGGACACTCCTCACTTTTAAAGAATAATTGTATTTGTCTTTTTCTTTACAAATCTGTTGTAGTCAAGAAAATCCTCTAGTGAAAAAAAAGGAAAGGAAACTTTGTATGGCTTGAGAGATTTATAGTTATGATACAACAAAAGATGTTGAGCTCAGTGGAAAATGGGAACTACAAGCAACAACATACAGTGTATTGAATGGAATCAGTACTGTACCTGTACTGTACTGATTAGTAGGAGAGGTAGCTAGCAAACATTTCACCTGTTGTTTTTGCAAGAGCAAATAGTTTGCTATGAAGGATTGAGTGGGATAATACTGTACAGTGTGTGAGCTTCAGACTTGTGTTTGATGAGCAGTGTGAGTGCACAACTACGTGTTCCTGTTTAATTGTACCTGTATCTCCAGAATTGATATGTTGACAGTTTAATTAGTTTGACATGCTCGGGATTTACCGTAACTGTCATTCCACACGAGGAAGAAAATGTTATTTTTCAAATAGATTTTCTCATTTAAGGTGTTTTAACTTCTCTGTATTATTTATATTATTATATTTTATCATCAATAATATTAGTTATATTTTTATTTGTAGGATGCTGATATATCAATTAGGCGTCGAGCTATGGAGTTATGTTTTGCGCTGATCAACGGCAATAACATCCGGACTATGATGAAGGAGTTGTTAACATTTTTGGAGAAGGCTGAACCAGAGTTTAAGGCTTCTTGTTCATCCAAGTGTGTTCTGGCAGCAGAGAAATATTCACCCAATGTGCGATGGCACATAGACACACTCCTTAAAGTTGTAGAAGCTGTAAGTATCCATTTATTTGTACAGGAATGAAGATAAATATAGGGATTATTTTTCCATTTTATCTTAACAGCATATTTAAGTCTTAGTGTGGATAATCTTAAGAATATTTTATGTTCCTAGTTGTGTGTGTACAAATTCCTCTTCTGCACTCCAGTAGTCAGTGTCAAGTCTTAATTCTTAACTATATACAGGTATTTGGACAAGTGTGATTGACTTGTTTTCTCCTTGACAGGCTGGGAATCACGTACCAGACGACGTCGTGTCCTCCACCATACAGTTAATATCAGAGACACGATCAGAACAAGCGTACGCTGTTGGGGAGTTGTGGCGTCACCTGTCAGTTGCTCAGATGGAATACCAGCCAATGATTCAAGTATCCACCTGGTGTATAGGAGAATTTGGAGACTTATTATTAAATGGTACATCCTTGTCATTAAATATTGCCCTTTACATGAGATATAAGTCTCCCTCCCCCCAGTTAGGGACATTTGGCCAATTCTGTACTGTACTATGTTTGGATGTCTTATATTTCTGCTAAATATGTTAATTTGACATTTAAAATTTGTTCTGTGATTTGGTGAGGTTTCCTTCACAATACAGTAAATTTGCTACCATTGATTTATTGAGAAACTATATGAACCTTGATGTACTTGTACTGTATATAATTTGTAGTTAAAATTTGGGATGCACCGGAGCCAGAATATTAAATTCTGGCCGGAACTTTAAAAAAAATCCAGCCGGTACCGGAACTTTAAGTGTTGCTTAAACTATGGGGGAAAAAATCAGTTTCATGACACCCAGAAATGCTAATATGATATTATTGGTCTTTGTTTCGGTTTTTAAACTAATGTCTAAAACTAAAGCCGTAAAATGAAGTTCAGGTAGGCCACTGTTTTATATGCTTTACTGCTTTTTAATAGTGTTTTTTTATGAAGGAATACAACATTGCTTCAAGGTAAGATTCACCATGGATAGTATTTTTCCAAAACTGTATGTCATGTTACCTAAAATATATTAAGTTTAGCATTTAAGTTGTTTTATAAGTACAGTACATGCAAAAATAATAACTTGTAAAAAAAATCAGTCAATGGGAAGCTGCCTCACACATGACTCGGTGTCTCTCTGAATAGCAGCTGAGGTGGATATAAGAAGGTAGAGATTCTCTACTAAGCCAGTATCACAATTAAAAGTTCTGGTTCCGGCTGGTTATTTTTCTAAAGTTTCGGCCGGAACCGGAACTTCATAAAAATTGAGGTTCCCGCCGGAATTAAGTTCCGGTGCATCCCTAGTTGAAATGTATCTGCACAGGATTAACTTTGATGACAGACTTTAAGGCTCTGAAGAGTTGATGAATGAACTGAGTGACCTTTCTTCCCCAGGACAAGCCGATGTAAGTGTGGTGGAAGCTGAATTAATAGATGTTTACCAGAAAATTTTGTGGTCATCGCAGTGTTCTATTACCACTAAGGAATACGCTCTCACCTCGCTGATGAAGCTTTCTGCCCGGCTCACCCATGAAATCGGGTGAGCTTACATATTATTCCCTATTTTTTAAGTAACGGTTATGTATTAAATTTATTTTGTCGGTTCCCACGTCAAAAATGTCTTACTCTTGTGTCTAGAATACCCTTTACATAGATGGGAAACAATGTAAAATATGTAAGGTTTTGATTTCTTGTTACATTTAACTAATGATACATTCAATTACTCAGTATATTATTATTGTTTTATGGAGTAATCAAAGTTTTTATAATTTTTTTTAGAAATTTAAATTTCTGGTAATAAGACTAAAGTAGATACTTGTTAATGTACTTCACTGCAGATCATTAAGTCATATTCTTTTGTTTGAACAGATCAATACAGCAAGTAGTAAGTGCATTTGGCTCCCACTTGAACATAGAACTACAACAAAGAGGAATAGAGTATAGTCAGCTCTTCACTAGACATACGTGAGTATAGCAACAGACCTAAAGATTTTTAAGTGGGCAGAAGTACAGTATATGTTGTACCTCAAGATGTGAATGAGTCCCGAGGATATTATTTGAACATAGGAAGTTATTAATGAGACTTATGCAAAATATAATAATAATCTTGAGGGCCTGATATACTAATAGGCAGTCATGTTGTAATGGTCATTAGTCCAGGGTAAATTATGTATAGTTTATGTAATTATGAAGCTAGTTGTACCTTTCACACTCCATGTGAATAGGAATGGAGTGAAACTAATGCCATGCATATTATCCCCAGTCAGCGAGGTATGGGGATATATAAATGGATTCTTGTGGTCCCTATATAAGTTAGTTTTATTCCAAACTATTCACATATCTTAGTAAATTGTTTCAATAAATAAATCAATTGGGTGCATAATTAAGTTTGACTGAGGTTCTCCCAATGAGAAAAATAGACAATCCATCTAGTTTAATTCAGGGCCCATGAACATACAATTAGCATTGAAATACTTAAAATATACTCTTTAAGATTATAGAATTAAGATTCTTACATAGTAGTTTAGAAAAATATGAAGAATGTAACATGAGTAAATCATTCAAATAACTGTACCAATATATACTCTTGGATCAGTTAGGCTGCACTGCTTATATAAGACGGTATTTCACTCCACCCAAGTTATCCACTTCAGAAACAAAACAAAATTTAGCTTGTAAAATGTGGAGTTTATTTTCATCCGAGGACAACTCTTTGTTCTTGATGCTGACAGTAATGCACCAGTTTTGCCTTAAATTCAGAACCTTTTTTCTTTGGTGTCATAAGAAGTACTGTATGGTTGTGTTGAACCCGTGTAGTATTAGAATAAGAACCTAATACATATTTTAATAATACGTATAGCCAATTTCCTTCAAATCTGAAGCACGTGATTTTTCATCTCATTAAGTGCTCTGTTTTGGAAGATTATCTCTCTCTTGCTTTTTTCTGGTCAATTTGGAAATTATTATCTTCCTGTTGAATATATTAAATGATAATGTTGTTTCTAGTGTACAGTACTTCAAAATTGAGACATAAACCTAGTTAATCTTGCTATTTACTGCCTTGAATATCTTCAGCAATTTGAATATACAGTACTCTATCTAGTTAATGAACATATTCCCTCAAGAGGTGTCACACAAGTACTTTCCAACAGCCACATGCGAGGGCCTCTATTAGAGCGGATGCCACCATTTGAAGGGACCAGAGCTGGATCAGAAGCTGACAAGGCGACCATCACTAATGGAGTCGACACAGCAAATGAAAACCAGAGTCTCCTCAATGACCTCACCTCGCCAAACAACAACGCTCATGAGACAAATGATTCAGTGAGATATTGCTTAGTTTCTGTACATCCTAGAACACGACTTTTAACTTTATGGTGCAATACAATCTGAAGTAATTTACGTAATAATTGCATAGCTCCATGATTATACAGAAGTTTAGAGGTTGTTTTTGTTTTTTAATGAGAAAAATGTGTTTGTATATTTTAATCTTTTATTTCCTCTCATGAAAAAGAACAGGCTACCGGTAATCGCCTCATAATGCTCATTACTTTAGACTATATTTTCAAAAAAGTTTTTATTTTTATTCATAAATTATTGCAGCATTAGTCAGCAAACGTCTCTGTTAATTAACTTTTCCAAATCATTTACCCAATCTTGAGGTTAGTTCCCTTACCTGGAATGTTGGTTTAGTGATTTTCCTGTTATGCAAGTAAACAGTTATCCCTTGCTGACATAATTTAAAGGAATTCCTCTAAGTGTACAAATTATGTTATCCCAACAAATTGTAGTAGATTTAATAGAACAGTTAAAAAGGTGGAAATCTTGCTGGGGATCTGTGAGATAAAACAGTGAACAGTGGTCATATGGATCTTTTAACACTTTAATGCTGTAGAATCATGTAAGCTGGGTATATACGACTGCTTACCTGCATAAAAATTTGACCATTATCTCAGTTTCCTTGGCCATAAGGACATCATCAGGAAACACCAGGTTATTAATCTTCAACAAACTCATATGGAACCAAAATTTTGAATCTAATAATACTGTATTGAGAATATTTTCTTATTATTAATATTAAAGTCTTTAAATGTGTAGGCATATACAAGTAATTAGGTTTGTATTTGTGTTTCTTAGAATGCATTGCTTGACCTGATTGGTGGAATGGAGACAGGAGACAACGACACGGTCCAAGCAACGAGCACGCCAAGGCCTATCACTGCCCCCATAACAGCGCCGATAGTCAATGCTGACATATTGGACCTATTGGGTAAAAAGCTTCTGCAGCCATGATGTTCTTATTGTTATTTGAAAGAGAACTTTGATATATAAACTTATTAATAAAGAAAATTACATGAGAATTTATATCTTCTAGCTTGGAGTTGGTACCATCCATAAAGCAAAATTTACTGCTATAAATTTTTAAGTATTGAATATAGGAAACTGGGTGTGATATGTTAAAATAGGGAAAATATTCTGTATAAGCAGTGCCTCAGAAATTTTATTTTGTTTCGGGTATGATGACAGCTGTGTGAAAACTGATAGTACTGTAATGGTGAATTGTATGGTTGTATATTTTATTTGATCCACAGTTGAAAAATGTTCCCTATGTTGGTTCTGGTTAACCTAATTGTGTCATGCAATTTTAGGAACCAGGTAAAAATTTAATATTGTTACTGGTATGAATTGTGTGTGTGTGTGTTATGGGGGTGTGTTACCAATTAGCTTTTGAAAAAGAATGTTTATTTAGTTTAAAGTGGTATTGGTAATCTATTATGGTATTATCACTACCCAAGTACTCATCTCCCACTTGTGTGTAGGGTAGACCAAGGGATACAGGAAGACACTGCAACAACTGCCATAGTCCAATTCTTACACTCTCTCATCTTTGACATATAGATAATGATTCATATCAGTTCTCTGTACATCCTGAGTTGAGTCATCAGGTTGGTGTTGTACACATTTCAGGAGGGTTAGACTCTGGCCCAGCAGCACCAGTGACCACCAACATGAACGACACCATCACCCCTGCTCAGCTACCTAACTCAAGCAATGCTGCCTACCTACTAGATGGCCTGCTCAATAACTCCACCCCCATCATCACTTCCCTTAACTCTCCAGTCACAAACTCTACTGCCACCAACCCTACAAGTAATTCAATCATCCCACCTCTCCTCCAGAAGTCAAGTATGTAACACCATTTTGTCTTGATATTCTTGAAAGGTGTCACAAATACTAAGCTTTGTAGTTGAACAAAACGGTCAAAAGAACATACAGTACTCTCATCTTGGATAACTCAGATGCTGAAATTTTGATAACAATTGAAAACTAGTTCTTAGAACATAATATTAAAGATAAAATATGGATAAATTTACCTTGCACCATGAAGGAGATTCTGGAAAGTAAAATGTGTCTGTACTTTGACAGGTATACCAGGAATCAATGCCTATGATAAGAATGGTGTCAGGTTGGACATGACGTTTGAGCTGCAGGAATCCATCACTACCATCAACATGCTAGCCACCAACAACACTGGAACTCCAGTTACAGACTTCCTCTTCCAGGCTGCTGTGCCTAAGGTAACTGTTTTCTCTGATATACCACCATTCTGTCCCTGTTTCCTCAGGTAGGTATCCCATGTTCTTGGTCTTCACCAATGTTGTTAATTAAATTTAAATTGCTTCTTGCAACCCATTGGTCAAGTGCGTTGAATATGAGCTTGTTGGGTGATCAGAGGAGTATGAATGAGGATAAAGTTAAAAATTAATGTGAACAAAAGTAGTCATGAACATGAGGGTGGTGTATGTGTGCACATCTGTATGTACTAAAGGAAGGACACAAGACAGTGCATCTTCTTAAGATTTATATAATTAACATGTAATCCATATTCAAATTACACCTGCTTATTTAATCATGGATAATATCCATGCATGGTTTAGTTGTGTAATAAGCAGGGCTGTGGAGTCGAAGACAAAACCTTCGACTCCGACTCCTCAAATTTTTATGCTTCCGACTCCGACTCCTTGGCCTATTTGTAACAACTATTTCTACCATCCTAATTGTAATTTGTATGTTGTAACCTGCATAGGTAAAAAGTAAAACACCGTGGCTATACTGCTTTATTAATGATCTGGACGATATTTAAGAACTACAAAAAGATGATAGGCTTGACTTTCAAAGTTTCAATCAAAAGAAAAATAAATTTATTAAGAATTCAAGATATTAACTAGAAAACACCATTTACATGTATATCTAAAAGTTCGATCTCAGCATATGAATTTTGTTTAAGCTCATAATCTGATGTGGATCTAAATGATGATCCTACAATTCCTTTTAAAGTAAAGTTATATATTTATGTACATTAAAGAAATGAATACCTTATTAAGGAAAATGGATAAACCTTACATGATTAAGTTATTAAATTAAATTTGCCTTAATCTCACCAAAAACAGGTTGTAGCTAATTATTTTCTAGCTGAGAGCCTCTGTGCAGTTTTCAACGAAACAAAATTTGATATAATTCAAAATTTCAAATGGTAAAGAAGAGACTATCGTCCAAAATTATAGTGCTATACTGTGCCTGCTACAATAAATTCATAATAATGCTTATAAAATGGAAATAAATTCTTTTAATAATTTAAGAAAATTAGTGGGATCAGTGGAATCACTGCAATGAATATGCCTGAGTTCATATATTTGTTCTTAGGAACAGAATAGCTTCAGTCGGAGTCGGAGTCTGGACAATTTTACCGACTCCGACTCCACAAGCCGAAATTTCCTCCGACTCCGACTCCACAGCCCTGGTAATAAGAGGTGAATACACAGGAGGCCCTGCATTCAAAGATTTTTTTTTATTAATAGATTGAAAGACACTAGAGGACAATATGAAAACTGTAAGGAACAAAGGATATCAATGATGGTAAAATTTTATTAAACAGGACTTGAATGTAGTAGTGGTGGCATAATAAAGACTAATGTGTGCTACAACTGGTAATGAAAGGAGTGAAGGGATGATGGACTGGTGTTTTGTCCAGAGAAATATTGGTTGAAACAAGAAAGCAACAAAACATTAACATAAAATGAAGGGTAAGGGGGAAGTGAAGGGGTACGATTGTTGTGTGTTCATTCCGCGTGTAAGAGCTCGAATGATGATAGAATGAAGTTAGGTTATTGTTATAAAAGGAGATTCATCAATAATCATAAATTGGCTGATGGTATGAAAGTATTTGGTGTGTTTGAAGTATGTCGAGAAAGAGGTTCTCTTAAAGTTGGGATGTACAGGAGAGTCGGTCATAACAAATGTTAGTTTTCATTTGTTTTAAGTTTTTCAGTCTCTTTTATTCCAGTCACCATTGTCCAGATAACTTTGCATATAAATTGTAACTTGTTGAAAATACTGGGAGAGGAAGGGAGGAGATTTCTGCAGTAGGATAAATTTTCAGCACATCTGCATTTCCCAAAAAGAATAAAGAGCTGAAGTACCATAATGGCATCAGTGTTACAGTTGTCGTTGTGTGATTTAAGTTTTTTGAACCTCATGCTTTTGTGTGATTATTGTTAAAGAGAAAACTTGCAAGACCATTCCTGCTTTAGTGTATAGGATGGCTAAAATCAAGAGCAACATAGCATCTCTCTCATTCATTGATTCTACCTATCAGGTACTATAACAGAGCATTGTAAATGAGGTCAGGTAAAAGTTCCCAAGTACCAGGTTATGTGTTTACTTGATTTTGTTTACATTTTACAACCTACACAAATGCCTTTGCAATGTACAGTCGGTTACTTATTTGTATAAGTTTTGCTTAATTCCATGTCATTGTCATTTACAATTTGTTATTGCAGTCACTACAGCTGCAGATGTTGAACCCTAGTAGTAACAACATGGCCCCTACTGCCACACTGACTCAGGTGATCAAAGTCAACAACCCTAATAAGGTAAGTAAAATAGAAAATAATATAGTTTTCATGCACGTTTATTTACTCTACTTTTTTTTATGCACTGATGGTCCAGCTAGAATACCTGCTAATGTTTCCTTGGGTGTTTTTAGTGCATGTTGTAAATCAACTGCACTTACATAGCATGTTACATAATACTTACTGCTAAACTTGCATTGTCTCAGTTCATTGTACATGTAGGAACTTCTGTCAACCTCAGTGATAACTAGGAATGTTCATGATTGATATTTAACCCATGATTTCCTGGCAATCATCCTAAAGCTGGTATTGATGAAGAAAAGTGTTATTCTACGGGACGTGATTCTTGAGGACCTATGTGACGGGTTGATGCGGTAGCGGGTGTGTAGTACCTGGCAACCAGTAGAGGGGATACCAGAAATCAATATCCAACTCAATTTTCCTGTACTTAGCACCCACAGAATATTTAAAATAGCACAACCCACATATGGAGCACTTACAGTCAATCATGGCAAGTGGCACATCCCATATATGGGACACTTGCGGTGAATGGATTAACACCAGAATTTTTCAAGTTGTACTAAAACTATAATTCAAACGTTAAAGAACAAGCGAATCATTACAATGATTGGGGAAGATCTAGTGTCATTTAAACCCAACTGATAAATAGTTTTCAGGAGACAAAAGAGTTACTACACTATTTTTGAATCTAGACACCTATTTTGCTCAGATTTTACAAAGACTTGACATCCAAACTTCTGGTCCATGAGCTGTTGACCCTGTACCATCTCCGTTTTTTTAATTAGTGTTAATTATTACAAAAATAACTTCAGGTAGAGACAACTTGTTGGTTTCTTTTGCAGGTGCCACTGCGGATGAGGATAAAGTTATCTTGGTCAGCTAATGGATCATCAGTTCAAGACCAAGGGGAAATTAGTAACTTTCCTCCAGCACTGTGGCAGTGACACCACCCGTGCCCTCTTTACCCTAGTTACTACCACTCACGTCTGTCTCCTGGCTCCCTTCCTTCATCCCATGTTTACATCCCTAATAATAGTGTACCTGTATCCTATATCACCCCTTCTTTTAGCTTACTCAGAAGAAATAGGTCATCTTCTCAGTATACTAAAAAGTATTCCCTCAGCAATCCTGCTACATTTTCTCTCATGTCTAGTTTGATCATTGCTCGAGGATCTTCCAAATCTATCACATCATCATCTGTTTCATCATATGTCTTAAATGCATTTTTGTACTCCTTAGCCACATTTATGGTTATGAAAATATTTATTTATGTTCTCTCGTTAGGATATCTAAGTTTCATGAATTTGCTATTTGGTATCCCTAAGTGGCTAGTAACACAGTCTTTCTCTCCAAGATTCTCTTCTCCCTCTTTCCGTTATCAAGATTTTGCTTATTCAAAGTCATTCATTTTTTCTTCTGTCTGTAACTTGTCATTCTCCTCAAACAGGGTAATAAATATTTGGGTGTTATTATCCTCTTCAGTATGTTACAAACAACTGCTTTGTTATCCCCCTGCTTTATCATTACTTGTTTTACTGTGCAACACATTACATTCATCTTGTGTCTCAATGGCATCTTGCCCGTCCTCCTTCCTTCACAGCACAAGTGCGTCATGCCCACTCTGTCTGCTATTAATAATGAGGTGACAGGGATGTTGTTGCACTGTACATGGGATTCCTCCTGCTGAGTCTGTTGTAGGTATTTGAGTGTGTGTTTTATTTAATATATTTATAATGAACAGAATTGGTTTTTACTTCAAGATGATATATTTTGTTTGTTGCATTATCAGGAAAACAGGCTTTGGAGATCATCAGATTGAAGTTAGTAAAAGGGATCCTAATGTTGCAGAATACTTTACAATCACTGTCCAACAGACAATGTGTGAGAACATCTGTTCAGTACAATACAGTACAGGTATACCCTGCTTAACACAGTATAGTAGATGCATTCCAAAAAAGTAGTGTGTCAAGTGAAACTTTTCTTTCAATATACTCCAAAATTATAAATTAGGATATATTCCAGATATACTGTACAGGTACTGTACATAAAAAAAATTGGCCCTAAAATTTAGTCATAAATATACTAGTACAGTATTGAATACATATACTGTAGTAACATAAATACCTGTACTGTGCAACAGTAACATCACCAGAGATAAGTAAAGCAGCAGAATATTAAGGCTTGGTGTTAAACTACCATAACTAACATTGTAAGTGAGTCTACCAAGCTACAGGCTCACAGCACAGCCTCGTGACATGTTTACACAGCTTAAAGGAGCAAATCACTGTAAATCTTTTATAGAAAAACAAAAACATTTTCCCACCCTCCAAACCCTGTAATAATTATTCATGGACTCTGTGATATGAATATGTTCCCCAGTTTATAAACTACATTTTAATAAAACTATAAAGTAAGTGAAGATGTGTTAAGTGTGGAATACCTGTACTAGAATTACATCTAAGAGCAGATATGGCTATGGTAATTATCCAATTGGTATTGGGCCTTTTGTGAAATAATGTACACTGATACATACCTGTTGTTAATATAAATAACTCAACCTTCTGTAAATTACAATTATACTGAATTAATGGAGATACCCAATACTGTAACTGCAAGTGTTGAAGTGGTTATTGCAACTTAGAGTTCTATCTGCTGTTGATAATAGTACAAGCCTAGTGGCGCTTGATTGGACACTTCATTTTTTGCCAAGAATATTATAATAAAAATTTCTTACTCAGGAGAAAAGTAAGGCTGCTTATCACAGTGTTAGTTTTTGTTATTATTTGTTATAAAAGAAATCAAAAACATTTTCTGGTGTCTTCAAAGCAAATTTCATTAATCCTTCAATTTATGAACATGTACTGTATGGATCATAAAATATCCTAGCTTAGTTCTTGTGATAAAAAAAATTGTCATTAAACTAAGTGTTCAGTCAGTTAGCAAGGGTCTGTATTCCAGGACTGTTGCTTGACATTTGAATGAAGCCTTAATTCTTTTTATTTACAGACATAAAAGTGAATAAGAAGTATAGGTAGTAATGTGATAGTGGGAGTTGTGGCACAGTTTGAAGACATGGTTAGTGATTTTGTGTAAAAATGATATAAAAGCTTTGGTCTGATTTTCCCAGTTTGGTGCAGATCAACTCTGACATCTTATTGCTGTCATTAGACAAGTACATCTGCCCTATATTTATGTGAGATACCATTTTTACAGATTTAAAATTTGTACATCATTGTTCTTGTACTTAATGTTCTGTTGCATGCATTGAAGCTTTTTGGTAATTTTTAATTATCTACCTAGTACTGTACTCAAATAGCATTATTCACAATTAGAGTATCTGCTTTACATACCTGCTTTGCATATTATGTTACCGGTAAATCATTTTAATATTTATGGTTCCTTTTAAACCAGGATTTATTTCCCTCTGAAAATCTTAAGGATTGTACTTAGAGCCAAGAAGGTATTTCAATATGTGAAATATGTATATGTATTTACTTTCCCTTGCTTTTTAGTCTGCAAAATAATAGAAACTGGTACAACTTTAAGTACTGGGTACTGTTTGTATACACAACTTGAGAATGTTCCTTGTTAAGGATCTGTGTGCCAGATGCTATCTTGTGACTGCAGCTTTAACAAGATAACCTCATTCTTCTTAAGATCAAAGCTTGAAATATTGTACTTTTGTGATATTGTTTCCACAAAATATAAACCACTTGGCAGAGTCATTTCTCTAGCTAAATGGTTTCAACAATATTAATACATGTTAGACCTAATTTCTCATTTTAACACCAGTAGAGGTCTCATTTCATATTAGTCTGGATCTTGTAAATATTACAGAAAATGTAAGCTGAGGTAGGTGTTGAGTAATTGTTGTAAATATTTGTTATAAAATGATACAGAGAGGAGGGCTAGAAGTGTGACCTAAACTCAGCTGCCAAACCAGACTTTAATAACAAAAACAAAAAATCCATCCACACCAATACCACCAAATATTGTTTTTCTCTTTGTTTTTCATGTACAATTCTGACTATAAATTACTGTACTATTATTTTTATTATGTAAGTGGTGATGGAGTATAAATTTGTTGTAGCAAATTTGTACCCTAGGTACCATGTGACTATATCTAGTTTCTGCGTGATGTGAATAGTAAAATGGCCTTCTAGGGATTGGGACTAAGCAGATAATCCCTGGTCCTGTCAGTTATTACGTTGTTGCAGAGCAGGACCCTTAGACCCAAGGATTATATGTTTTGTGCAACCTTTCCTCTTGTATTAAATTTATGTAGTGTTTGTATATTTTATGTCATTTAGAATATTGTATCTATATATTGTTTGATATAGTATTTCAGTTATAAGAGAAATTATATGTATATAAAACTTCCAGGGCTGCTTTTAAAAAATGAATGTCAGGGAAAGTCTTTGCCACACCCAGACAAGAACCGTGATGGGGCAGAAGGGAGAAGCAGTAATATAATTAGGGGCTTTGAGGCCGAGCTTCTTTATTTTGTGAGTACTACTTTTTTCTGTAGAATTTTTGTTTTTGTAAAAAAATAACTAAATAAATTTATCTGGTGTGCTGGAGGCTGCCTGTATGAAAAGTGAAATAATTTTTGAAAACGTTTATTTTTCTAAAACTTCTACCCTTTATTGCTAGGTCTTTAGTGTTAATCATAACTTAAGGCAGTTTGGGCTTGTAAATGATAAGATATTTTATTCTGTTAACTGGAATTTGCTATTTCATTCTTGAATTCTCAGAATTTGGGGCTCAAGAGTGTAATTCCAATTGTGGACATATAAACACTGATTTTCCCAGTGGAAGAAAGGATATAATTAATATTAGAGGACCTGTTATGCTGTTTATGAACAATTATAGTAGTTAATGTGACAGAGCTCCTATGGTTGTTCTCCTGCCCCACGACACACAAGTCTTGGGTGCTGGCTGGCACGCTCCCACCCATTGCTTGACAGTAGGCCAGGTCCACGAAGCCATTCCATGTTCTCTGGTGATGTAAATGAGCCCTCTGGCATCATGTCATATTGATCATTTGGGGAAAATAAATTTATCAATGAATTTTTATTATGCTGTTGTTTTCCTGCAATTACTTAAATAAATAACCTGCATTTCCTCTAAAAATTTCAAAATTAACAACAAAAATGCACACATCATCCTAGGCAACTCTGTTGTCTGATTATGCCATTAATGTTCACTATAGTAGATCTCTCCCTTTCACATTTAATTTTATCTGCATTCTATTTTCCTCACTAAGTACTTAAGTAATTCTAATCACATATACAGTACACCCCACTAGAAATTTTTCTTTCACAAATATAAAACCTTTTCTAGTACTGAACTGTACTTCACTATTTGTATTCTCCATGTTCCTTTTTGCTTAAAATATTTGAAATTATATGAGCGGCCATGAAAAGATTTCCAGCTACCCCAAGAGGTTAAAGGTTGCTATTTACAGTGTCTGCAAAAAATATTGATCCCTGTAAACTTTTTACATGACTTTTTCCAAAATATAAGTTGAGGTTAAATAAAACACGTGCAAATATTTATATTATTTAATATTTTTTCATGTTTCCCTTTGATTTTAACACCAGATGAAGTCGATCTGACATGGATTCAGCAAGTGTTTGTAAATAATCACAGTCTGTCTCCGTCCAGATTTGCTTGAGCTTGTACAGGTGAGGCACTGATGATGTGTTCTGTGTTGGCAGCTTACTGTATGTTTCATCTGGTTACATGTATTCAGTATCAGGTTTAGGTCCAGTTAGTTTCCAGACTACACTAACACGCGAATCTTCTTACATCGCTTCATAAGGAGTTGTCTTTTGGCAGTGTGACAAGATGGTGTGTTCACTTCCTTTTGCTTTCAGTTGAATCATTTGTTGACACATCTTAAAAGAGGTTGTCTTGGTTTTCTTCATTTCTGGAGGTCTTTATGGGTCTCCCAAGAAATTATTTCTGAGATGGAACAGAATTGGCAGAAAGATTGCATGCTGCATATTTCTCTCTAAATTGTTGCTGTGCCTTGTCCTGGATTTCCATCGAAGAAATTTTTTCACCAAACAGGACAAGAATACGAGCCTTTTCCTTACTAGACATGTTTTTGGGAACTCGGGTAACTGTTCTGTGAGAAAAAAATGGTATAGTATAGCAAGAATTTTTTTGTCATGATTCAGCAAAAATTTATGGAACTGCACCAGGATACGGCTAACACCAACCTGTACAGGAATCTTTTTGCAGAGGCAGCACACTGAGTTGCCAGATGAAAAATTTTGCACCTAATTTAATTCAATTGGGTGGGCAGTATCCAGGCTTTAACTTCATCATAAGAATATCTATAATTACATAATTGGGATCAATATTTTTATGCAGGGAGCTCTCTTATTAGGTGGTGAACAAATAAAAATTACACCTCCCATCTTTGGGGTGGCCACAGGAACACACACCATCACCGTGTATGCACACACATCATTCAAGTAATGATGAACAGATTCTGGGGCATACATTCAATGCGTGACATTAAGCAGCGAGGTGAAGATGGTTGCTGAAATTCTGTACTGTACTTATTTTCTTGGTCTCATCAAGATATTTGTTACTAGTGTTTCACATGCTAATTTTTGCTTCCCCAGGTGCAGTTTTTATCCATTAAAATATCAGAATATTAATCCTCGGTTGCAAGCTGCCCAACGCTTATCCCCAACTCAACAGCAACACCATTCTGGACATGCACCTCAGCAAAAGAAAACATCTCTCTCTACTGAGGTACCACGTGGCCATGACCCTGCCATGGGACCAAGCTAAGGTGGTTCGGCTGAGCCCGCCTCCCCCAAGAAACTAAACCTCCTTATCCTGAATAAGTTTTTCGACTCCTCCAGGATCAAGGGGGTCACGAAGGTCGTCCACAAACCGCTGAGTGGTAGCTTTATTGTCCCCTTATCCGAATGGGGACAGGCCAGACAACTATTGGGCGTCAATGCCCCATCGAGGCTGAAATATAAAAAGAAGACAACTTGGTGATGGGAGTGATCTCCCAGTCCGATATCGACCACATGGACCAAGATGAGCTGGCTGGTCTGATTGGGGACCAGCTCCAAGTTAAGAAGCTGACCAGTTAAGTGGCCTTGGTTGGCTGTCCCAAGGAATTTCCACGCGAAGTATTACTGGGTTGGGAGACCATCCCAACCGAGGCCAGCCAGGTGCTACAAGTGCCAGAAGTATGGACACAAGACCAAGAAATGCAAAGCTCCAGAGGACGTATATTCCAGTTACGAGTCCTCTGGACATCGGTACAAGAAAGGAAAAGATGTGCAGTTTGTGGCAGTCCACACTCATCCTCCAACCGGAAGTGTCCCAAGTGGATGGAGGAGTGTCGGGTAGCCAAGGTGTGGCACAGTAAAAAGATGAGCTACAAGGAGGCTCTCCTTGTAGTGAAAACAGGAGAAAAGAAGAAAAAAGGAAGAGAAAAACAAGAATCCAGTGGAAGAACAAGAAAAAGGGACATACTAAAATTAATCCAAACAGAAATTATTAACCTCTACAAACAAGAACAAGAACAAGATATTTGGGAGTGGTCTGTCCAAAAGAACACCAAAGTAACAAATCTACTGCCATAATAACCGAAGATTTTGACGGCCAGTAAATTAAATCGACAACAAACAACAGCACCGCCCCACCCTCTAGGCACAAGTGTTCCTGCAGAAAACTCGTGAAAGCTGAGATGGGATGGTGCTGCTGGAGTGAACTGGTCCATTACTGACCCATACAGGTATTTTTATTGTATTTACCCCCACTAGAAATTATTCTGTACTTATAGATAAGACCTTGGGGGGGGGGGGCCCGTATTTGAGGTTCACTACTGTACATCACTTAGGTGCCCCATATAGGAATTTGTCTTATATTTCCACACCCAAACTATTTCCCATGAGTCCATATGACCAAAAATTATTAATTATTTTTTCACTAATATTTTTTTCATGGGGTGGGGGGATTTGCATACTAAGGGGGTTTATTATTCTACAGTATACAGGTACATGTAGTCCTCATTTACCACAATTGTGTACATACTGTACTGTACCACAGTTTAATTTTTATGAGCAGAAACAAGGAAGTCGGAACACCCACAAGAGGGAGAACATGTATACTGTACACCTCTTAATAAATCTCATTAATGCAACTTACACAATTCTTTTAGGCATTCTTATATTCATAAATGTACAGTTGCAGAAACATGTTCCTACACCCCTGTGGTAACCTGTCTCCAAACAACCAACCTATTTGACCTACAGCAACCCTATCCACCAAAACGTCCATCGTTGCATGACCAATACCCATTCTTTCTTAGTGATACTATTACTGCAATGTTGCCATTTGGGGACATATGTTACCACGGGGTACAGGAACACATTTTCACAACTGTACATGCTTATTATTTTACTGATAAGAGTAGCAAAAATGGCTGTATATGTGGCGGTGCAGGTGATCAGTTGGCAAAAGGCCATGACAGGATGAACATGCACCCACCTATCATATATACGTATTTGATTGTATTTCATGTCTTCTATGAATTTCAAAGTTTTCTGCTTGAGAAATTTGCCAACTACAGTTCCCCAAATTTTCCAGAAGGAAACAAATTATTCTCTAATACCTTATATAAAAATTAGTGCCTCAGTGGTTTTCAGAAAAAGGATCCTTGTGATAAATAACGACAATTGAGATTTTGTTGGCTAACTAAAGTTTCATCAAAACCCATTTCTTCATGTTTAAGTTATCATGTTTTCACGCTACCTGGACAGATGGACTAGTTCCTTGGTTACTGCTACTCACCTTTGACATAACAGTTGGGAGGTCAAAATTAACCCCCTTGCATACATGACGCTTATGTGCCATAAACTGGTTTTGTCAAATTTGACCAGCGACTGAAACACGTCATAGAAGTTAAAATATTCACCGTAGATTAATTTTGTATCATAGGGAGAGGCCTACGCTCCTAATTTTAGTTAACAATTGGTGCTTCGTGAGTTAGACAGCTCAGCATGTAGATGAAATAACTCAGTGTCGTCTCAGCAGCCAGCCTTGTAGGTCACATCTGCCCTTTAATTAAATCCCCCCCCCCCCCTGCTTTCTCAGTTTTCAATGATTTGATTGTGAAATAGTTCTTTGATTGCTGTGAAATTGATGTGTATTTCTTTTTGTGATTTCAGCACTTCATATTTGCATACTTTTTTATAGGAAGCCTATGAAGTGACTGGTCGGATTTCAGTGTTGTGATCTTCAGACTGGTTTGTATTTTGTTTGTGAAAGTGATTATAAGACAGTGTGAAACCTTCAGGTATACTGTAATCCTCCCCCTTCTTCGTGCTCTCCCCAATTCCTGATGCCTACAGCTCGCAAGAAAATGTAAGTGTTACTTTTTTTTCCACAAGTCAAGACATACAGTATTATTCATTATTAATATTGTAAACTTCAAAGATATCAAATTCACAAAGGCCAGAGAATTAGAATTTATTTCCTTAAAATTTAAGTTGTCTTATGACAAGCTGACAACACAATGCTTCCAGTGCTTCATGAAGTGAACCTGCACAAGCAAGCCACGAAGGACTATTCTTTTTTCATTCTAAGATTACTGGCTCATACAAATAATCCTTCACATGGCTTCATGAAATCCTATAAAGTAAAACATAGAGCCTTAGGGCCCCTTAAGCTCATGAGTACGTATATCAAATACAGTGTTTCCTCCACTTACGATGGGGTTCCATTCCGACTACCAGGTCGTAAGTCGATCGAGTCATAAGTCGAACTGACGAAAATAATACATAGTACAGGTAATAATTGTAAAACTTTTACCTTTTTGATACACAAACTGAGCGGGATACCATGTGGATGCTGTACACACGCGGCAGCGTGCCATCCGAAGTTGTCGTAAGGCGTTAGACATTACGACCAAATGTCTAGACTCGAAAATAATGTAATATATTTTAATATAATATAACGAAAATGACCGTCTAAGTCCAGGTTGTCGTAAGTCGCATATGTCGTAAGTCGAGGAGAGACTGTACAGTAACAGGGTT